TGAGTTCAAAAGACTCCCATTTGGCATAAAGACGCATCTAGTATTAGCAAATAAATAGTATTAGCAAGTAATAATAGTATTAGCAAGTTCTGCTATGTTTATTTGAATGCCGTCATCAACTTCTCAAAGAATGAGGATGCTCCTGCAAAGCACGTAGATTGGGTTCTAAAGAACTTATACGATGCAAGAAGCAGAAGTCGTTCGATCTAACGACGGATGCTTCTGCGTACGGCATTGGTGCGGTTTTGTCATAAGAAGGGCGCCCTATCACAATGATCTCAAAACCATTAAAATATAGGGAAGTAAACTATGCTACCAATGAAAGGTAATTGTTGGCCGTCGTCTGGGCATTACTCAAACCGCGGCATTACTAGTTTACGGTAAAAGATATAATCATCTACACCGACCATAAGCCGTTGATATTCGCGGTTTCAAAATCAAATCCGAATGCAAAGATCAAGAGGTGGAAGAAGCTCATAGATGAAACAGATTCTCGAGTGTTTTATTAGCCTGGTAAGAAAAACCTGGTCGCCGATGCATTATCTAGGCAACAGGTCAATGCTATAGAGAAAGATCCAAGGTCATGTGCGGCAACGATACGTAGCGAGATGTCCCTGAGTCATACAATAGAGACAACGGACAAACCGTTCAACTTCTTCCAGAATCAATTAATTCTGGAGCAAGCACGCTTTTCGTCAAAACTGACTTTTGTTCTCTACGGAAACAAGAGGTTACATGTTTCAAGTTACATGTTATTCATGTAAAGAGTCATTGCGGGACAAACTTCCGGGCACAATTGTCCTCTAGGGTGTAATCGCAATACATTGAGGCTTGCGTACAATCGCAAAATTCTCACGACTGAGCACAATTGGGCCACACGGCTGCACAAAGTTATGAAGCAGATGTTCACCGAGTACAACTTCCCAAAGATGGCACAGATGAAAAAATTGTGGGCGTGGCACCGCGCCCTATTTAAAAATAACATGCTAACTCAAAAAATAAGAAAGATATTTCAATTTGTTTCTTTTCAAGTTTTTCATAGAGCCATAGTCTTCTTTTGGAAAAGTAGGTGTGGTTTTTTTTTTTAATTTAAAATCTTTTAATTTTTTAAATTTAAAGCGGTTTTACACTAGTCTCACAGCTAATAGATTCGCATTGGGGTTTTTAGATTGCCTCCTTAAAATATAAATTTCTTCAAAAGCGCATGAAAGTGCACTTTCATATTTCACTCATTAAAAAAAGAAAAGAAAATTAAACAATCTACAAAATGGACTATAATTTCAATAAATTACAATGAACAATGCACAAATTACAATGCTCGACTTAGTTTAAATCTCTTTTTAAAAATTAGATTTAATTTTAAAAATTGGTTTGCTAGACTACTTACATTTTCACTTTATTAAAAAGACAACACAAGTTTTTTGGACACTTCACATACACAAACACATAAATCAAACCAAAATTCAAAAATTTTCAATTTTAAAACTTTTGATTTGTTGGATGGATGTTGGTGTTTTGTTTATGTATTTCGCCGCTAAGGAGCTGATTAAGAAATAGAAAACTGGGTCAAAATCAAAATCAATCACAAATCATTTCAATGCCATTTTATGGCATTAAAATGCCCCTTGTGGGTCAAATCCCATATTATGGGCTTCGCCTTGATCGCACTAATTAGCTTGACTTTATCCTCGCGGGCCGAATTTTTCGGTCCGACAATTTTTTTCTTTCAAATTTTCGCTCCATGTTTTAGCTATCAAAATAAATCAAATGAATTATTTTTACACCCCAAAATCAGCTGTTTATTTTTTTTTTAATGCGGCAACGCCATTCAATTCGATAGCTAAAATTTTCGTCAACAGAGTACCGGAAAAATCTAGGAGACGAAAATTTCTTCTTCCTTTTTTTACACCGATTTTTTTAATATGAAGTTTGACAGCTGTCACTCGTTGGACAGCGGATTTTCGTCAACTCAGTACTAGGCTTTAAGTTTGAATGGCCACTAAAATAGTGCATTTTATGTTAAAGAAAGCTTTTCTAGCAAAAGATCTTGGACAAATCAAAAGTATGCTTTTCTATATACATAGAAGGCTGATATATATGTATACTTTCTATGGAAAAAAACTCAAACCAAATTTCAGAGAAAAGAAAAATCTCACAGAGAAAGTGTGAAATTTTTTTTTTAATGTTTAGACCTGTGGGGGCTAAAACGAACACATTTTTAGAATTCGAGTGTTTTCGTAGCAGTGAAAAAAATGAGAGCAGAGCATTCACTGAGCGAAAAAAACCTAGTTTTTTATTCAATTTTTTGTTCAAAAGTTTGAATGAGCACTAAAATAAAGTATTTTATTTTAAAGAAAGCTTTGCTAGCAACAGTTTTTAAACAAAGGAAAAACAACGCTTCCCTATTTATGTTTCATATGGAGAAAACTTTTTCCAACCCAATTTCTGAGAAAACTTTTCTCAGTGGAAACATTTTTTTTGTTATATATTTAGTTACTTCCTGTAGTGGAAGAATTATTTGGCCTCCCCGTTTGAACGGGTTAACGCCACAGCCAATGTATGAAAACTTATTTCAGAAGATCTAAAAATTGCGTTTGTTTTAAAGACAATCATTTTTATATATTAATTTTGGCTCGCTTTAAGAACAACGTTATGATATGTAGTTGTCGATTGGATCATTTGCAAAGAAGCGACAAATATAATTATATTATATAAGTGTTGGAAAATGGCGGCAAATGTTTGAGTATTTTGAACAATTTAAAATTAGATGTGAAATATTTTCCGTTGCATTGCATGTGTCGCAAATAGCGTTGTCTAAAATGTTCATTTTTGATAGAGTGTACTTATTGAACGCATATCCACTAAGGATTCTATTTAATTGTTTTGTGTCTATACGGTCGAAAATATCCGGTTTATAAAAAAAGGGTTTCTTGGTGATGAAAGGCGTAAAGTTTGAATAACCTTATAAAATCGCAACTTAAGAGTTGTGACATTTCCGGTCAAAAAATGTTATATGGCAGCTGTAAGATACAGTCGACCGACCCCGACCGTTCCGATTTTGTTCCGTATTGCCTGCAAAGGAAAGAAGGATGAGTGCGAAGTTTATGGATATCCAATACTTAATCTACATTAGGATGAGGACAATTTTGACAGAAAAGCAACCTAGTAGACCCAGTAGGTATTGTGGCTGACGTCCTTACCCAAAGTTCCTATACCTTTGGGTCATAAGCCGGGACACCCGAACACCCATAGGTATGATACAGTGGTCAGCAGTGCCCTATTTGAGAGACATAGTAAATTTCTCTGCCCGAGCTCTGCCGCTCACTACTGTGTGTGTAAACTGTAAAACGTATGAAACATCATGCTCTGAATACTTTCTGATATTCGTTACTAATAAAGTGTACGAAATAAGTAAGTAGGACTATGATACAATTATAATAATTGTATAATTGTATCATGAGTAGGACACGTATGTTGATAACTGTTTCGTCCACAAAAACCCACTACTGGAATTTTTTTCTTCTACGAATGGTTGATTGAACGATTTGTGATACGCAGAGAGAACTTTAAAAAGTACCGTACGATTTTCCTGTTAGGTCTACATTGACCAGGCGAGCTTTGATTTTGCGAACGAAATAAGTAAGTGGGACAGATCTGTTTATGTTCGTTTCAGTAGAGCTCATTACATCGAATTTCTATAATTGAATTAGACAACCAAATTTAGTGAGTTTCGTCAAATAAATCATTTTTTTTTTAGTTTTATTTGAGCAAAGTAGAGCGGGCAAGAATATTGGCGCTCCGAGATATGAGGATGTCAATACGCAAAATTGCTGCAGAATGTGGGAGAAGTAAGCTGACGGTGGAACACCTTTTAAAAGTCCCCGAAAACCATGGGAAAAACCCCAAATTTTTGGATATAGAGAGGAAAAATGTAATATTTAATATTTATTATTATCGCGACATTAGAAGTCCCAAAAAAGTCCACGTCTCCAGGTACTTCCAGAAGCGGGTCGCTTCTGGTATGGGCTGCCTTTGGCTATAATGGAAAGTCTCCTATTTGCTTCATATCGCATAAAATGAATGCAAAATTATATGTAGAGCTCTTAGACGAAGTTCTAGTCCAATTTGGAGAGAACTATTTCGGTGAAGAACGGACTTTTCAACAGGATAATGCACCTATTCACTGGGCAAAGCTTACAAAAAGCTTCCTTTCGTCATCGCAAATCCCAATTTTAGAATGGCCAGCCCGCAGCCCGGATTTAAATCCAATTGAAAATCTTTGGGCCATATTATCTCAAAGAGCTTATGCTAATGGAAAACAATTTACTAGTCGTAAATAATTAAAAGAAGCAATTAAACGCGAATGGGAGAAAATTGACATAAAAATCCCGAAAAACTTAATTAATTCAATGCCATGACGAGTTCTTAAAGTATTGGACAATAAAAGATGCACTATTTAAAATAATTATATACTTTTTCCTAAAATTACTGTTAAGATTAATTTATTGACTTTGTCCTTACTTATTTCGTTTGAAAGTTTTTTGTTTGAATTTCTATAATGTGTTGTGAAGTTTAATTTTATTTCTATAATTTGACAAATGTAACAAATTTAATAAAGAATATTTACAAATTTTTTTTTTTTTTAATTTTTTAAGCGTTGTTTTGTAAAACAAAAAAATTGGGTGTCCTACTTACTTATTTCGGGCACCTTACTAATGCATTAAAATGATATCAATGTATTGGGTGCTGACCAAGGTTTAATATAAGATAGGTTTGAAGAAGGAATTGTAAACCTGCACTCGTCAACAAAGTTTTTAAATGTGGACAGGCCGCTGTTCCGTTACCTGAGCCACCGTGCCCGGAAACCCCCACCACCATCCAGCAGCAGTTTTTATATTAACTATAGCAGTTATAATAAGTTATTATAACAACAGTTATATAATATTTATTCTATTGTAATCAAAGTTAAGCCTTTAGTATTTAATTACCGGTTAAACAACTTTGAATTATTATAGTTTTAATATATATTATATTATATTATTTTAAATATATATAGTTTACAATTCATTTTTGTCCTCAAGATAATTACATTTCCAAATTACATTTCGTAAATAATAAGTATGGAGCAGCTATACAGATGACTATATAAAATATTTAAAATGATAACAAAGATCTACATATTATATGAAGCAATTTTATCAGCTGAAATTGAATTTCATAACTTCCCTTAAAATTTAACAAAGTGTTTTAAAAATAAATTCAGATTAAAACACTACTATGTTGTGTCGTAGCTTATTAATAAGGCACCATCAACAGGTTCTAAACAACTAGGACAAGTAAGACTTCTTAATAACCAGTCATCTATGCAGTTAACATGATAAATGTGCATGCAAGGAAGATAACGCACAGCTTCCCCAACATTAAACTCAGCCATGCAAATGACACACTCTCTTGACATTTTTGAGCATCCATCATATGTTCCTATTGGCAAATGTTGCATTAAACCAATCCGCTTGGCTATCCTCACTTGACCATCTTCCAAAATCTGATGAGCCGTTGATGTTGAGTTATTAATTGAAACGGTTGAAGTTGGATAGTACATTCGCTGGTCTTGCTCATCCAGCTAAAAAAAAAAAAAACAATTAATTATTAAAATTAATTTAAGGATTATAATTCATATAACAAAAAAGAAAACAAAACAAGAAAGCAAAGCTAACTTCGGGCGGAGCCGAAGTTGATATACCCTTGCAGCTAAAACCGGATATATATCGCAAACATCGGATATAGTAGGCCGATCCTTATGGGAATATGAATATATAATCCAATTTATTACAATACAAAATCTAAAAAAAGTCTCAAGCTTTTCAAAAATACCAAAGTTGGTATTTCTACCAAAAACCATTTCCGATCGTTCAGTTATATGGCAGCTATAAGATATAGTCGGCCGATCGTTATGAAATTTGGTAGGTCGGATTAACTGACCAAGAATATAATCTGTAACAAGTTCCAGTACCAAGTCTGTACCGAGTATCTTCAAAAACACGAAAGTTGGATCATTTCCGATCGTTCAGTTATATGACAGCTATAGGATATAGTCGGCCGATCCTTACGAAATTTGGCATGTCGTAATGTTTTGCCAAAAATAGCTGTCATGTCAAATTTGAACTCTCTAACTCTCTAACTCTAAAAACACCAAAGTTATACCATTTCCGATCAATCAGTTATATGGCAGCTATAGGATATAGTCTGCCGATCCCGGCCGTCCCGACTTATATACTGCGTGCAAAGGAAAGAAGGGTGTGTGCAAAGTTTCAAGATGATAGCTTTAAAACTGAGAGACTAGTTCGCGTAGAAACAGACAGACAGACGGACAGACGGACATGCTCATATCAACTCAGGAGGTGATCCTGATCAAGAATATATATACTTTATAGGGTCGGAGATGTCTCCTTCACTGCGTTGCACACTTTTGGACAAAATTATAATACCCTCTGCAAGGGTATAAAAAGAAAGCAACCTTCGGGTGGAGCGGAAGTTCTTCCTTGCTAACCGCATCGGATCGCAAATATTAGAATAAAAAATGTAAAAAAAAAAAAGTCCCAAGCTTCTATCTAACATAACACCAAAGTTGGGTCATTTCCGATCGTTCAGTTAATTGGTAGCTATGGGATATAGACCATCAATACTTGTGAAATTTCTAGGAGAATGGTTAAGTTTATTTTGAACCAAATAACTAAAAGCTCAAACACAATTTAAAATGTCATCCTAGTTCGAATGGTATTAGAAAGAATATTTTGTTGCAATACAAGGGGATATTGAGTTCAAATTCGTATCGTATATTTATAGTGTTTTGTGTGGCAGAGAAATTTTGGTTATGCTCCTGGAATTGGGTCCTGCCGACAACTGATCTAGTCAGCCATTTGAGTCGTCGAACGGTCAATTCTAGAGCCACGGAATATATCAGAGAACGAAGATCAGGCGAACTAATCGAAGAAAGTAATGAAAGAGCGCGTGTAAGCATGTTGCAGTTTCGTCAATCACAATCGGAAGAGGCACGAGATGCCTCTTTGTTGTCTATGGAAATTTTGTAGGTACATATCTAAATTCATATCAAAAAATCCTTGCTTTCGGTTCGCACATGTTATAAATAAAGTTATTCAAGTGGAAGTACGATATTAGTCGGATTCGTCTAAATACTTATGCAGACTAGTGTATATTGATACAAAGGGGACTCAGGAACAGTGTGCAACGAGCTACCTGTAACCACTAGCCATACAGAATAGACAAAAATGGAAAATGGAAGCAGAATTCCCGAACTTCTTTAATTCACGCGGAGATCAATTTTTAGCAGCGAAAGATTTATATGGGAAACAAACACACTGTTTCTCGCATCTCATGACTCCCAAACGGGCAATATCTGCATACTTAAAGTCACTCCGAAAAGCCCAACAGGCAGTCGCCTGTCGACTCCATCGGAATTAATCCCGGTCGAATGTCTGGGCTCTGCATTTCTTAGATCCTTAACTAAACTAGACGATTACATAATGTCGTAATAGCCAATTACATAATCTAGTCCAAAACATAACTGCCAAAAAATCACTAAAAACACTATTTCACAGCTTCCCGCTAATTGTACTAGGATTTAATAAATTCTTCCTTTCATACAATTTGAAATTAGAACAAGTTTACTTTTTATAATTAGGCTCTAAATTGCAACCTTATCTCTTAAACGATTGAAAGTTAATCTAAGATTCACTATGCAATTCTAGACCTAATTATGCTAGAATAAAAACTGATGCTGCACTGTTATCTCGATCGTTAAAACCAATAGACCGGAGAATAATAGAAACAACACTTTAAGCTTTGAAAAGATATTGCTCTCTGTGTATTTTCTGTGACATGAATGCCCTGTTGGAAATCCACACACTACAAGACCACGAAAGAAAACTCGGCCCCCGAACCAGTGCTCAAAAACAGCGGCAAAAAAACCCTACTTTGTAAGGCCAGAAATTTATATGCCCCTGCTCGCCCAGGAAGTTTGCGCTGTAACCAGTCCAACTTCTTTATTTGCTTATCAGGTTTTTTTTTTCAAACTTGTGCCACTCTGTGCCAATCAAAAATTTGTTTTTAAGACACAAATTTTAAAATTGCAGGAGAAACCTTACCGGCCATGGAGGGCATAAGAAAAAGACGTCTATGGAAATCTACAGTCAATTTTGTTTGAAAAGCTCAGAACAAGTTGCGTAACATTATTTAGGAGTTAATAAAGATAAAAACGATATTTTCACGAAATTTTAATATCTTTTATAGTTTCTTGTGAAAAATTCCCAAAATTTACTGGGAATTGTATTGGTTAATAAAAGTTTGGGGAAAAACTAATTGGTTCGTTACGCGACTTTCCAAGAGCAGCAGGTGCGTGGTCCTTCTAAAATTTGTATTCAAAGGGCTCCAAATACACTTAAGGGGCCAGCATAAAAGGACTTATCCTATACCTACGACCCTACGATTCTCGAGACATAAATCCATGTCTCTTAACAAGTAGCTTGTTTGATGCTAATATTTCAAATGAACGTGGATATTGTACATTTATACCGTGATATAGTGAAGGAGACTTCTCCGACCCTATAAATTATATATTCTTCATCAGGATCACCTCCTAAGTTGATGTGACCATGTCCGTGTCTGTTTCTACGCGAACTAGTCTCTCAGTTTTATAGCTATCGACTTAAGTTTTAAAGCAGATTTGAAATAAAACTCTATGTTAAAAAAAAAAAAAGAAAAATAGGTAAAAATCACAAGGTTTCAGATCAAGTGAGTAGGGTGAATGATTAATAGTTAATATGGAGTGTTTGGTTAAAAAATCAGTGACAAACGTCGATCGATGAGACGGCGCATTACCGTGCAACAGACGACAGGATCCGCCTTACGGTATTGTGGTTGAACACGACGAATGTGTGACGAAAGACGCTGCATAGCACCACTGTAAAACACAGCATTTATCGTTTGGTCAGGTGCGACGAAATCTCGGCGTACAAAACCCTCGGATTTGTAAAAAAAAAATCAGCATTGCCTTTTAAGGATTTTTTAATGAATTTTACTATCGATGACCAAAAGCTTTTTCCATTTTTATACCCTTGCGGAGGGTATTATAATTTTGGTCAAAAGCGTGCAACGGAGTGAAGCAAACATCTCCTGAGTTCATATAAGCATGTCCGTCTGTCTGTTTCTACGAAAGCTAGTCTCTCTGTTTTAAAACTATCGATAAGTTTTATAGCTAAGCTATAATTTTGCTGATTTTAGAGTTAGAGTTCAATTTTTGCATTCATTCTGTTTTTGGTAAAATAATACGACGTACCAAATTTTAAAAGGAACGGCTGACTATATCCTATAGCTGTCATATAACTGAACGATCGGAAATGACCCAATTTTCGTGTTCTACCCCATAGCCCCTTCTGATTATCACCTATTCAGATCGATGACGCACGGTTTGGCTGTGCAGCATTTCACATCTAAAATTTTCACATAAAATTAATTCAAACTCTCAATACCATTTCCGATTGTTCAGTTATATGGCAGCTATGTAGTCTGCTGATCGTTATCAAATTTGGTAGGTCGGATCAACTGGTCGGATCAAATAGAATCCTTACGACCTCCAAACTTTCAGTCTTTCAAAACACGAAAGTTGGGTCATTTCCTACTTTTCAGCTATATGACATCTATAGGATATAGTCAGCCGATCTTTATGAAATATGCTGTCATATTATTTTGCCAAAATAAGAATCCGAACTCTCTAACTTTAAAAACCCCAAAGTAACAGCATTTCCGATCAATCAGTTATATGGCAGCTATAGGATATAGTCGGCCGATCCTGGCCGTCCCGACTTAAAACTGCGTGCAAAGAAAGGAAGGTTATGTGAAAAGTTTCAAGTCGATAGCTTTAAAACTGAGAGACTAGTTTGCATAGAAACAGACAGACGGACATGTTCATATCAACTCAAGAAGTGATCCTGATCAAGAATATATATACTTTATAAGGTCGGAGATGTCTCCTTCACTGCGTTGCACACTTTTGGACAAAATTATAATACCCTCTGCAAGGGTATAAAAATTTGATTGGAAAGGCTATTATTTAGCCGATCCCAATTTTGATAAACCTGCTGGAATTGTCTAATAATTGGTGCAGATTTATATACACGATTTATTATGGTGGAAAAGAACGATTTTCGGATGGATCGTGCCAGGTCGCACAAGATCCAAGATTAAAAAATCAATTAATTCTACAGCCTTTGTAAATACAATCCAAGATTGGTGGAAAGAAAGAGGAAATTACGTGGAACCCTCAATACAAAAATACACGGCTAAAAAAGAATTAAAAAATAGAAAAGAATTTCAAGTTGTCCGACAAAAATACAAAATCTGTCATTTATCCTTTGGGGAAACATAAAATAACATATGTCAGGAAGAAAAGAACAAAGATAATAGTAAACAATTTCCATTTCTATTAGTAAACAAAAATATAACTAAGGCACTTTTGTGGCCCCTTGCATGATGTTCAAACATTAAATTGAACACGACAACTTTAAGCAACTTTAAAATATTTTAAATAAAAAATAAAATTTTACA